GAGACACATTTTTAAAACCGTTAGGGACCTTTCCCTTTAGTTATTAGCACTGCCATAAAACAAAAGGGAGATTCTTGTGCATGCAACAAAGTACAGGTGTGGCTCTCTTCCCAGTCATCAATTGCACCTCTGCAAAGGCAATTCTGAAGAGAATCACCAGCTTTTACCAATCATAGTAGAACTTGAGACTCATTTTGTGCAATCAAGTTCAGAAAATGTAATGCCAGAAAACACAGAAAGCATTCTCAAATTTTAATTTTCTAATACATTGCCAATTATTTTTCTCTGTCACAGAGACAATTATTTGTTCAACCAGACAACATGGAGCATTTGCAAAGAACCTGAAAACATCATCCTTTGGAATATCGTCCTTTTCTCTATTCTCCTGGCCATTGGTGTGATTGAAGCTATTCTTTGTTTTATTCAAGTCATCAGTGGACTTACCGGCTTCATATGTGGCACATGTATGAGGAAAAGAAAGGTTGGTATGCAGTAAAAGGTATCAGAGTGCTTTGTGTTCTTACCACTTCTATTTTTCAGGATCTGGGAATGGTACATGATCAGAGAGATCTGCACAGCCCCTGAATGAGCTCCTCCAGGGAGCTGAGGCAGTACAGATGCATTTGCACACTGTCTCTCTCTCCCTCACATTGTAGTCAGGGATCACCAGGTCCTCAGATATTTCAAAACAGCAGAGCAGTGTGATGTATTGACATGCTCAGTTGCATGGTTGTTTTCCTATTCAAGAAGTCTTTTTGATAAAGTATAATGAGCCCCAGCATCTGTAAGTGACAAAGATGAGAAGTAGAGGTGTTTTTAGTTGGTCAACAGTAGTAAAAATGTCATTTTACAAAATAGAAGAAAACCTCTTTCAAGTTTCATTTATCACCACTGCCTTCCTTTTCACTGTTTATTTTCATTGTACAAGAAGCTTGCAGTAAGTCTGATATCTCTCTGGGATATTAATTAATCATCTTTCATTCGTTGCCTTTCAGACAAATATTTCTGGAATGTGAATGATCTACAGGGAATGCCGGGACAAGCCCCACGCTGCCGATTCACATACAATAAGGATAGTGCACTGTGCTGTATTTATGGGGGGATGACAAAGAAAGCCCAAAATGTTCAGGAGTTTCATGGGGCAAAATAAATTTTTAATAAAGAAGCCAGGGTGGAAAAAGACTAGATCATTTAGATCTGAGACTCCAAATTTTCATCTCTCTAAATATGCCTGCTAAATCTCAGGTATTGGCAAAAACACTAATCTGTCTGGTCCTGACTGCCGTACTTGTGCATAAAACACAAAAGTCCCCAGATCAAAGCTCACCACTTGCCCTCTTGTGTATATGGGATACTGAACCGTTGTTAATGTATGCATTTATCAGCTGCACGGAGCAGGCACTCTCTGGCTGGATGTAAATAACCTCCCATCCCTTCCAAATCCCACCTTGAGCTCACCTGTCTGTTCCTATTAACTTGCTACCCAGACACTCCCAGATTTAAATTAGGATGTGCAGAGAATATATCGAGCAGCATCTGTGACACTGCAGAGGCAACTGAAGCATGCGGTTTTCAGCCTCCCTCAGCCACCCTGGAGCCAAATCCCCTTGTGCTCATTTGGTAGCTTGCTATCATGTTTGACAAAGTCCAGTGCACTTCTACATCAGTTCTTCAGGAGCATCTGAGAGACGTGGTAGCCCTGGAGGGGCATTTGGGTCAATATAGACAGTAGGGTTTGGAGCAAGAGTTTAACAATGTCCGGTTTAACTAAAAGGAGAACCTCAGCACCAGTTTTGCCCTCACGAGACTGCACAGGAGTCTCACTAATTTCCACACAGGTCCGTAGGGCTGTTCTAGAATAGATCACATGGACAAGCAATTAACTGGTAAAGATAAACATTAAATTGATAAAGGTAATAATTATGTGCAGCTTAGTAACAAATAAGAGATATAATCTGAAAGGCAACAAATTGCATCAGTCTTAGCGTTACAGCAACAGTAATCCCAACCAGGAACTGTGTAATTCCCCGTCATCACTCAAGATCAAGCCCTTGATGCTGAAGTCCATGACTGGCAAATTTCAGAAACCCCATCATTTCTGTGACTTCCTCAAAGGTTAATTCTTGGACATGCCACTGAATTCCGTGAGTCAGCCAAACTGTAAGATAATCTTTATCCAACCTGAAGGCACGTGTTCAGTTATGAAAATCTGAATATATTCAAAGCACTTGGAGTCTATTTTTCAAAGAGAGACATTTATGTTTTCTCAGTCAAAAGTTGTTCATATTTCTGCATTGTAGCATGGGAGCAAGTTATTTGAACACGGTTATAGCAGACACACATGCTTGTTTGTGCTGTCCTCTAATGCAGCATGCAAATCTCTTTATAAATAATGGGGAAGAAAATGCCAGTTATGCTGAGATGAGGAGCACATGTACACTTCCTTGGAGCATGGCTTCACCCCTAGAAGCAGGAAATTTGACCATAAAACTTAAAACTACCTTCTGTAAAAAAAGCATAAGACTTGTTGAAGTTTGCAATCATGACTAGGTGCATCCAAACCTGCCAGGTGGCTTAAAAAGCTCGTGTACATTGTCAGCAGTGAAGCCTGGACAGTGCTACCATATAAAGTGGTCATCAAAACAAAGCCAACTGATTCAACCAGGAAAAGTGTCAAGGAGGCAGCTAGAAGTAAGGACATCCAGCATGTAGCCAGACCAAGAGAGACTCCTTCATCAGCAGAGGGCCTCTATGAGCTCTTCACAGCTCCTAAATATCATCCCTGCCCTCATCCTTTAGTTTTGTCTCCCTGACTCTCATCTCTATGATAAAGCCAGTTTGGGCTGTGCCAGCACCAGGAGAGGGAGAGGTACCCACTGGCACACACCACCTCCAGCACCGGAAAGTAAATGCACTGTACTGCTGCCATCTGCTTGTTCCAAGCTGTCCTGCCCTGGCAATGTTTAGTGTCACATCTGTGTGCTAACGGGGACACCCTCTGTCCTGTCAACTGTGCAATCACTTGCCTCACTGATATATGTAAATATTAAATATTGTTATTCTGAAGTTATTTTCTGGCTTGACTTGTGTGACCTAAAGGACTTGCGACTTCAAACTAGCTCTGGTAGGAAGACACATGGAATAACACAGCAATTCATCTTGTCTAACTTGAACCACTGAAAAGGAGTCTTTTCCGGGATAGGCATCAAGCCACGTAGTCCATGGAGAGAGGCAGCCTTTCCCCAGCCCGTACTGAAAGAGATGTCTAAAGTAGACAGGAGGAATTGTCTCTCCAGGAAAGATTCAGTTGTCCACCCTAGACAGGAGCATCTGGTGCCATTTGAAGTGCAGCAAAGCATCCTGCTCAGCCTCCAGATGCCAGTCAAGGTGGCAAGGGCCTCCCACGTGTCCTGTGTCACACCTGAGAGCCACTCACAGATCTCTAGAGACCAAAGTATCTCAGCTGGAGCTAGCAACACAGAGGTGTGGGTGACCAAAGCAAATGCCTGTCTCTTGCAAACACAAGGATGCTAAAAATTCATTTAGCCAAGATACCTAAAGGTGGCTAAAATGAGGTGAAATCATTTCAGCTCATGGCTTTTCAGATCCCCCAAATAGCCTTTTACATATGTGCCAAAGCCTGAGCTCTCAGAAATGTCACCAAGAGCCTTCTCCGGGAGCCAGCCAGCACATCGCAGCAGGGGCGGCTCCTTGCACCGAGCACTGCAGAGAGACCTGTAAGAAAATGACTACATAATACTAATAATAATTTTTGTTTGGACAGAGAGTTGGTTCGACTAAAGATAAAATATCATGTTTCAGAACTGGTATTACTACAGATTTTAATTTGGGGTTTTTTTTCCATAATGAGAAGAGTTATTTCAGTGAAATCTCCTAACAAAGGAAAAGAGGTATTTTGTCTCTGAAATGTTTCACGTGTTGTACACATGAAGAATTTAGTAAAACTAAGGAACTCATAATATTCTTCTATATCAATCTTTTATCTCTGTTCACCTTCTATCTATCTATCTATCTATCTATCTATCTATCTACCTACCTACCTACCTACCTACCTACCTACCTACCTACCTATCAATGTCTTCTCTATATCTACCAATCTTAAATAATTAATGGTCAAAAACTCACACAAGCATAATGACAAAATATTTTTTTAATTTTTGTATTTATTACTCACTGTGCAGTCTCACCACACAGGTTCTCATACAAGGAGTAAAAATGTGTTACATTCTCATAAAATTATTCCTCTCTCTTCTGCATTTGAAACTCATGCAGATCAACCACTTGCAAATCTGCATTGGTTGGAAGAAATAATACTTCTAACACATGAGGAAAAAGTGTTCCTGGGATTGTCTTGGGAAAGGAATAAAACTTTAGACTAAGCACACCGTGTGAAAAATTGTAAATGTTTGGAGACAAATGGCCCGGTGTTTCAGCTGCCAGGATCAAGGACATGATTCAAATACCTGGGTTGGAAACCACAGACTAATTCATACCATCTCATTTCAAGAGGAACTGTCAGATCATTTTAATGCAAATAGCTCAGATGCCTCAGGCCCCAGTGCTCATTTTTTCTTGGTGAGCAGAGCAAAGCAAACCAGTGAGAGGCTGGTCCCCTCAGACTTCCCTGTGCCACAGCCTCTGCTCTACTGCCCCATCCCCAGCTCCTCCCAGGGAGCTCCACACAGGCAACCACTTCTTTGCAAAGAAACTTCAAAAAAATCCCAAAGGAAATAGTAATAATAATAAAAACAACCCCAAAATTATCTTTCCAGATTCTCAGGGTACTTTATTTCATTTCCTACAGAGCACCAGCTCACTGGGCTTGTCCCTTCCCGGAGGAGTGACAGGGGAGAGCCACCCTTCAGAAATGCTCTTTCCTGCTGGACCTCTCTCACTCCACAGCCCCCCTTTCATCCTGAGCCCATGGGCCACAGAGGGCAGTCTAAAGCTTGGCATCAATAATGCAGCACATTTAACCCAGAAAGGCAGGGCAAGGGCTTTACCTTAGGCACAGAGGCCACTGTTTTTTCCATCTTTATTTCTTCCTGTCAGTTAGCTTCAAAGCTGAGTAGCTGTAAGTGCTCACTACTGTGCAGATCATTTCCACCATAGACAGAAAACTTCCCTGGTACACAGCACTACTCATTTTCTTGCAGGCACTCCTCTATTTTTATCAACCACCTATGTCAGAGATTGTTCCATCAAGGTCAAGTGATAAGAAGAAAGAGCAAGAGCTCAGTTGAGTATCCCCCAAGTAGATACTCAGAACCATTGGAGACACACCAGACTATCCTGGCTGCTGCTCCAGAAGGGCATGTGTCTTCCACAGGGGCTCTGTGACATCTGCTTGCCCATGTGGACATCTCAGAGGCTTTAGAGCACCTCAGGTGGCACCAGCCAGCTCTATGTGAGCATCTGAATCAAGCTCTGAAACATCTACTGGGTACAGCGACATCACTCTTAAAAGCAGTCCTGAGTCCAGCAGACTGAGATCTGCCCTTGCCCTGTCCTGCCTCACAGGACCTAAAATAGGTCAGTGAATCACCTCCTAAAATTGCATATTTCTCCCCACGGGTTACACAGGGAGCTTGAAGTGAGTGGTGCAGCAGCTGGCACCCGAAGATGCAGCCCTCCATCATAAGTGGGGAGGTGAAGCCCACCTCAAACATCACTCCATTAGTGAGATTTCTTTTTTTTGGTAAAATAGATGCATTAGCTGAGAGTCATCTAGTGGCAAAAGAGCACAACAGATTCAGCAAGGAACTGGTCTTCTTGATATAAACTCATGCTTTTACAATCCGTCTTCCATGCACTGTATATCATCAAAAAACACTCCAGCCTCAGATGAACTACCTTACACATACTTTTTCTCTAAACCTCCTTCATCCCTTGAAAACAAAATGTTTTCACTTACATTTTGTCCTACCACATCTGCCCTCCATCCCTCTGGGTCTTTAAATTGTTTCCCTGCAGATTTTTACGCCTGCCACTTTTT